GTGGGGGAGGGGGGCTAGAGTGGGCAGCGTATGTCGCGCGACCAGGACAATACGAGAGGCCAGACTAACCACGCCAACACACACAGTAGAGCGCACCTTCATGTACCCACCAAGGACTTTAGCGAGGGCCTTGATAACGTTCTGGTTGAGGTGCCATAAATTGCGCCTCGCCAGCGCGTCCGGGAACACCTCTCGCACCGCCGCTGTCATCGCCGTGTCCGCGTCCTGGATGAAGGTATCCGGCTGCTTCCCGCGAGACTCCAACGCACTCTTCAACATCCACAGGAAAGTGTCCGTTGTGGTGTCGGCCGTTATGCTTTGGCCGACGATCCGCGTCCGATACTCCGAATCGACGACAGTGAGCACACCGAGAGGCATACGGTATCTGTTCTTGACAGCGGTGTCGTTGTAGAGCGCAACGTGACCGTACCGATTCCAAAGCGCCACCTGCGTATTCGGAGCATGACGTCGAAGGGGATCGAGAGCACTTAATTGTGGGTGTGACGTGTGTTGGACGCGTCACAACGCACCCCCACCCTTGCTTACGGCGTGCTTTCGGTCAGACGTCCTACATTTGCGGACGGCGAAGCGGTACGTGCGAGATGCTAAAATGAAAGCAAACCTTCCGGCTGGGGAATATTCGTATGGGGCACAACGACCGGCGACCTACCTGCTCTCTCGTTTGCCACCAGATGTGCGTCAGGCGGCCGCTGTCATCCATCTTGATCTCGCACACTCCGCCGTCGGCCGTCGCGGCCATGACCTGAAATTGCAACATGTTAAGCGCCCGGAAACATCGAGGGCATCAGCGCAAAACCACGACGACGGCACGGCACACATTTTTTACCTCCAACATTTCTTGGTTTGGTGTCATGGGGCATATATTCTCCCGGTTGTCACCTGCGATCGTATGTGTCTTGTCGCCCGGATACCGCCTTGAGCAAAACCCAACATCCCACACACAAACAAGAGAGGCAACAGTCTCAACGGACACATGGACACACCTCTTCGTACGCATCGGCAGCATCTCTCGGCTTCTCCGCCCCGTGCACAATGGCAGCTGCGTTCTGCACCGCGCGCTTGTTGATGTCGATGTCGCTGTCCTCGTGCAACGCCTTCATTGCTTTCGTCACCTCTTTTGGCTTCATCCCATGACCTGCGCCGTATGGGAGAGCCGGGAGCACAAAAATAAGTGGCGTGTCACAGACAAACAGGGTAACAATGTGGAGGCGACAGCAGTACCACGCTTCAAGGGCCGTTCGTCATGCGGCATCATGACTACCAACCATGACAAACCGTGGGATACGACGGGAGCCACTGTAGACCTACTCCAACGAGTTCAATCTTCCTTGCCCCATATTTGATTCACAAGACAAGACAAATGAAACGTTTCGCCGTCCACCGCTGAGTACACGAAAACAGCGAACCGAACGTGCACGCGTTGAAAGGCACGAGGTACAGCACAGCAGCGACAATCCACTGGCGTGCTACACCCACGGAACAAACATTGCCGGTGTCACGTCGAACCGCACTTGTCAAACATCAACCCGTCTCGCCTGCGTTTCCGGCGGAGGGCTGGTGGTCAATATCTGCTGCTGTTGTTGCTGTACGGGGTGGGCTTGTACAGGGTAGCCCGCAAAGGCTCCCGCAGCGCCAGCATGACGAGCACCGTAAGAGGCCGACAGAGCAGCACTGGATGGAAGCATTCCTAGCAATGACACTACCGCACGGCAGGCCACGGGTCCCACGACGCGAACATGGAGGGTAGACACATGAAGTTAAGGGGTTGGGCAAGTGCGTGCACAATGCCTGCACCTCTACCAGCCCAGCACTGCTGTAGCACCACCATACAGCCGAGCAGCCAGAAGAAAAGACTCCGGACTATACGGCAAGGACAACAGGCAGGGCCTGGCCTGGCCTGACCACACCAGTGCAGGCACATGATCACCAACGTACGTACGACGGCAACAACAGGTACAGAGCAGCATCGACACGTGGGACAGCATGAGGGAGGCTGCAACACAGGAGACAGACCAACACACACATGGCGCTGGTGCGGGTGCGGCCGTTGCTATTTTATTTCCAAAAAAAACATCACAGAGAGGGTGAGGGTGAGGCACAGACACAGAGGATGCACGGACGCCTGTCGGGACGGGATCTCACCAGTTATCGTTGTGTGTTGTCTCCTCGTCTTCCCCCAGCGTGCGGGTGCGTGTCGCCGCCTTCAGACGGCTCTCCGCCGCCGTGATTATCGCTGCTTTTATAGGAGAGGGAGAAGAACCTCTTCGGGGACACTCCGGGCGGTTTCCCGGGGTTTCGATCCGTCTGGATGTTTGGACTGTGGTTCTCTTCTATAATCCATGGATTGCAAATATTCGCGCCCTGAGAGGGCTGCTGGCGCTGGCTCCTGTCTGTGCGCTGTATGTTTGCCGGTGTGCCCATTGCTAGGTATCAACGTAGGCCAATAGGTACTGTTGCCCTAGAAACGTTAGCGACCGTTGTGGAGGAGGTGGAACGGGCCGGCCCGTCGTAAGTACTCTGTAAGTGGTGGGTTGGTTTGCTGGTACGGACCAGAGGGACACGCGATCGAAGAACTGGATGGCATGATGATGGAGGAAGCGCTACGGTTTCGGGGATATAGGCGCAGGCGGGTTGACCGAAGACAGCACCAGGAGGTAGTACGAGAGCGAGCTGATTTCCGCATGTCCTCAGGGAACACGCCAAGAACACGCCGATGGCCTTTGGCAGCAGTGGGACTGCTGCTGCTGCTGCTAATCGGCTCTGCCAACAACAGGGTGTCGGCGTTGCTGCAGCTAGACCAAGTGCCGAACAGGACTACCAACGAGAGGAGCGCCACGTTCACGTACGTCTGCACGCCGCTGGACACCACCGAGGATGACGGGTGCGACGTCGAGGTGAGCAGGGCGCAGCTTTGCGTTTGTGTGTTGGTGCTGGCTTCAGCACGAACCCCGAAGGGACCGACTCTACATAGACAGATACACATACGCAGAGTTAGGTAGAGGCGGAGAGTTTAGTTGCGTTACACGTATTTGACCGCCTGCGGCATCAGAAGCCGGAAGGAGGAAGGAAGCTCCGGCCATGACCGGGCATTGCCTTGTTGAATACCGGCGTGCTGTGGGATTGGACCAGGGGTTGACAAGCAAGGTTGTTGTCGAATGGGTCGCTGCTACTGCTGCTACTACTGTTGTACAACTCGTTGAATGGCCTCTGGTGTGTGTCCTGCGTACCGCAACGACCTGCTGCCCCTCTGATGGGTGTCACTTGGTTGGTGACCGCATGCGAACGCCGTAGATGTGCAGGTGACAACAAGCAGCGGCCGAGAGTCGCCTGCATTGCATGGGGCGTCCTGCTTTTTTTTCGGCGTCCCCCAGCTCTGCCCTGAAACTAAAGCAGATTCTCTATTATATGTATCCGTGTGTCGACGCCGCATAACCCCTGCCAGACCTACATATACACGCCAGTCCTCCCAACCTTGGTAGACTTCCGGCCAGCTGCTTATAGAGCGTGCGCAGGCTCAGCAGTATAGTAGTCCGTCTCTCAAACTCCATCGCACATTGTATGCAAAATACCACGAGAGGGTTTTCGTCGGCTCGTTACCAACATGGCGTGGCCATGCGCTTCGTTCCTCAGGGCGGGTGGGCCTATGTATCAATACGTTGCATGCGAGTCGTGTTCGTCAGTGTGCCTTCCTTCTATGGGAAGTCTAATTATTTTTACCGCCATGTAGATTTAAGTGGACAGGCACCTGTCCCAGCTTTTGTCACAAGTTTGCACAACGGCACTTTCTCACACGCGTCGTGATATGTTTTGTAGAACTTGTATTAAACACGCGGGTGTATTTCGTAAATTGCTGACGTCTGTGCGCGTCATGAACACACACAAGAGGCGTGCCAAGACGACGGGCAGACTTTTATCAAAACGCCTCAAACAAGTGTGTGGCCGGTGACCACGACCCCAATATTTGGCCCCTTCATACCGACATGCATCGACGAAAGCAGAAGAAACAATTTTGTGTGGTCGGTGAACACGATAATCAATGTTCCGCCCCTGTCATTACATGCCCACGCGAATCATCAACACACAGTGGTCGCTGGATTCGGCCGTATGGGTGCCGGTGGCACTGTCGGCGAACGCGTCGGTTACGGTGGAAGACCTTCTCGACGGCGTCCACTCTCTCTCCCTCAAGAACGACTACACTGCCGACGGACGCTCCGAAACAGAGAGCGTGGATTACACGTGAGCGGCGCAAATGGCAATCACCGGTTGTGGGTAAAGAGAGGAGGGGGCAGGACGAAAATGGGGGCAAGTCTTGCTGTCTTACGTGGGTGTTGTTGCGTGTATCGGTAGTTTCTGGGGCGTCTTTTTTATTAGCATTGACCACGCTAATCGACTGACCAATGAAAAGACTTCATCTCAGTGCGGTGGAAAACACCAGTGCTTCTATAGGCCACGATCTGGGACCCTGTGACCGAGCGTGTGTGTGTGTGTTTTTTTTTTTTTTTTTTTCTCGTTTATTGGTAGTTGTTAAGACTCTTTCTCTGTTTCTGTTTTCGTTTGTTTCTTCGCAGCTGGACCGTCGACACCGTACCCCCCGACACGATCGTGGACACCGGGCCGAGCCAAGATGGAGAGGCCCCCAGACCCGAAGAGGCAGATCCCTTCCTTTTCTTCACCTTCCACTGCAGGTAGGTCGGTTGATATTCTCTCGCTACGATACCGTCAGATTGATTTGGCAGTCTTTTCTGTCGTGTGACTCGAGCCCGCGTTGCCTGTGTAGAGACGGCTCTTCGATATATTCCAACGTTTTTCCCTCTCCCAACGACAGGAGTATGCGCCATACGCGACGTGTGTTTTCTGTCGTCCGGTGTCGGTGCACCAACCAGACCCCCCCCCCACCCCACAGAAAACTCATAGTGGAGTGGTTTGGTGTTTTATGCGTACGTCGACGTTTCTTGTTCGAGCGAGCCAGCCGGAGCGTGTGGAAAGAACCCTTCCGAGCTCGAGTGTGTCAAAAAGGAACAGACCTCTCACATGATGGCTACCAGTGATGCCTCGGCCGCTTATTAGACAGAAAAAGTTGGGAGCTGGCCACGCGAGTCCCGTTGTTCCCCCAAAGCGTACCCAAACATGGCACCCACACCGTCTTCATCGATCCATAACAACACGGCGAGGCGCCGCTGATTTTCCCCGCCGTTCCCCCCCCCCCCCCCGCCTCCTTCGCCCATTTTTGTCCCCCATTGTTGTTGGGGATTCTGTCCTCGTCGTCGCGTCACAAATGCCGTTGATGCCGCCGGTTTCAGCGAGGACCTGTGCCGCTACCGATACCAGTTCGATAACCGCGTCGAGCTGACGGCGACGTGGGACGTGGCGGACGGCATCGGCCTGATGGGACAGGTGTCGGTGACCTCCGTGCAGCAGGCTAGCGGCAGCGGTAGCGGCGGTGGGACCGGCGATGAGGAAGACGGGTCCGGGAAGCTGCAGATCAGCGTCTTCCTGACCGCAGCCAGCAGGTAAAACTACTGCATCCGCGCGCTACAACTGCATTCTTGCCCCCGTGCCCGTGTTTGTTTTTTATTTTCTGGACTTTGCACTCTTACCGAATTTGTTCTTTTAGTGCGGAGATATGGCTTGTGAGGAAGCCGAAAGGAGTCTTGTGGCTGTTGGCGCAAAGCACTACTATGCTTGACTGCGTTGCTGCCGCATGAGCATGTCGGCGTCCTACTTATGACCCTGTCTGCATGCTACCGCCGTGGTTGCATTCGGCTATTTAGGCACTCTTGCGCACCTTGCAGTATATATGTGCTATTGTGCACCTTGCAGTACATCGGTGTGGTATGTTTTGTCCTTGCCGTTCTCACGTAATCGCGTGGAATGCTCGTGAGCTGCTACGGTACCCGTATGCAGCTGCTACTATGCCGCACACGATGCGGCACTACGGCGATGTGCCGTGGTATGTATCGATCTGCCTCCGGTGTCCCTTATTTGCCATATATTTTTTATGGCGGTATGACACCATGCCCGCCCGCTTGGATTCAAGCAACAAAGACGAACCGTGCGAGAACGCGCACACGAAGGGGCCGTATCGTGTTTCAAGCTTAGAATATGAAGCGGGTGATGTTTCAGCAGATGGTTGTGCTTCCTTAGCTTAGAATACTGTATGAACCGGGCGATGTTTCAGCAGCATATTTATGGTTCCTCTTTCTTTCCTCTATCTTTCAAGCAAGTGAATTTTGCACCCTCTCTTCTCGTCGCCATTGTTCTTGTGAACCGGACCGATGTTTTTAATCCATGGTTTTTATTTTCAACACTTCACCGGCCTAATCGTCGCTCACGTTTTCGACGCCCGTTGTTCCACGGCAAACGGCGACGGAGCAGCTACAGCGACCCCGACGACCCGCAGCTCATGCCTTCCACGGTGTCCATCTTCAACACCGGAGGCGCGGTCCCTTCTAGCGCGGGAGGCACCGACGGGGCTGGCGTCGTTGGCAGCAGCAACAGCGATAGTGATGGAGAAGAAGCTGCTACAGGGGGAGGGGAGGAAGGAGCCCTCGTGGTGTTGGTGCTCGGTTCTCCGGAGGTGGACAGCGGTACGGGTGACACGGTGTTCTCGCTCTCGGCGGAGGTGGAGGTAAGGACCTGTTTTTGTTCGCTGGGGTAGGGGGGGGGGTTAGGGGTTGGAGCGGCAGGGGGGCTTGGGATGGAGTACTCTTCGCGGGGTGGGTCCTGCTTGACGTCGTATTATTTTTGAAACTTAGATGGCGCTGTACTCCCTCCCCTTTCCGCCTGTGGAGAAGGGCTTGGGGGCAGGCGTATCGTAGAGTTTCATGTTTGGCCATGTGACCAAGCATCTGAGAGGTGTAGGTCACTATTTTGCTGGGTTTCTTTGCTCGGCCAATTCTTGTCGCTGGATGGCGGACAGTGGCAGGTCGTTGTCGTTGTGTTGGATTGTTCCCCTCTACATTATTCGTTCAAGAACGAGATTTTTGTTTTTGCTGCAGGTTGTCCTTTGACTGGCGTCTTGCGGGACCCCGTGCTCTTTCAAACCGACAGACAAACCCGGCCATTTCTATCCACGCCTTGGTTCGCCCAGGACCTAGGGCATCTTGTGTGACTTAGCCTCTCTCCCATACAAGTCCGCGTCTGTCTGTCCTGTCCAGCTTCCTGCTGCTCTTGTTCATGATCCCGTTATCCCTCCTCCCTCCTCCTCGCGAATTTTTGCCAACTTTTTTTTTGTGTAGCATGTACAAGAGAGTTTGTTCTTCGCTTCTTCTACTGCAAGGTTAAGAGCGGAAGATAACAAAGCGCTTGTTTGGGCTGCGTTTGGCGTCATTTGTATTTCGTTTTTGGTGCAGGTTTCGTGTGTTTGTTTCCTCGATGGATTTTGGCTGGTCGGTTCGTGACGAAAAGGTGGCATATTGATTTTTAGACCTGGTTTGTTGCCAGACCGAAATGCCGGCGACAGGTACCTTGTCTGTTCCTCTGCTTCTCCAAGGGGCCCTCCATGTGGAAACCGTAGCCCCCCCCCCCCCCCCCCCCCCGGGCCAAGATTGCAGCGCAATAAAGGGGGTTTAGGCGGCACCCTTGCAGCAGTCTATCGTATAGGATTTAGTGTGTCCTTACTAAGACCGATATTCTATTCATTGAATAGACTTTCGTGCCGCATTCTAAAACGCGTAAAATTCTCTTCATTTGTAGGCTTCGTGTCGTCATACTAGTTCCTACACCATGCACTAGACCTCGCGACCAAGGTTGACGCGTATTCTTGGGGTGTTTCCATAATTTCCACTAGCTCTCTGTGTGGGATCCCGCCCGCGCGCGCTGAAAAAAACGCCCGAAAATGTCGAAACCCCGGGGATTTTGTCAAAATGTCCCCGGGGACATATAAGGCCCATCCCCCCCCCCCCCCCGCGACCAAGATTGCCGCGTAGCCCAGGGGTGTTCCGACGTTTCCAGATGGAGGGCCCCTTGGCTTCTCTTATGTGGGTGGTTGGTACCCCCCCGTCCCCCGTCCCTCTCCTCCGCAAGACCCCTTTGATGGCGGTACCCCTATAATAGTAGCAGTTCCATAGAAGCGACGTTCCGCCTCGATTGCAATGCGCAATCGATGATGAAGCGATTCCTGCAGAAAACGATTGAGGACCCCTCCTGCCCCCCTCCCCCAACCATCGCCATCTCCAATCTCATTGCGCCGCCTTTTTCTTTGACCGGGGTTCCGCAGGTGCCAGACCTTATCGGGCTTAACTCGACATCATTGGTGGTGGAGGTTTCAACAAACTCCTCCGTACTCCTGGCATCGGCAGCGCTCGAAGAGGCCATCACCAGCAAGGCGAGACCGGACAACCAAACCCTATGGACACAACCTCCCCCCCACCTTTTCTTGCCTCCTGAGGGGCAGACTTTCCGTGTTGTCGGCAGTTATCGCGGCACTGATAGATTTTCAGGTTTTCAGCTGATTTTGGGGGATTTTTTACTGGTAGCGCATGGGAAAAAAAGAAGAAAAAGAAGAAGTTCAGGCCTTCTCTCACGGCTCTCTCTCCGCGAAACTGTTGATATCTCGACGACCACGACGTCGATTCACGAGCGGATTTCTGCAATAGATGGGCAGAAAGCAGGAGGCCAGCTTGCGAGTTGTCTTCGCTTTGAATCATTGTCCCTTGGTCCCCACTCGATGCTGTATGTGTGGCAATGCGCAAGAATGTCAGCCCCTAGCATCTCACCCTCAAAGATATATCTATGCACATCAGCAAACACAAACACCCTCGCAAAAGCAAGGAAGGCCAACAGTAGTCAAGGGCAGCAGCTACAGCGGTGATTGGAGCAGCAAACATGTACGGGGAGGCGGTGCTGCCATGAGATCGATGAGATCCGCGCTTGCTTGTGTGGTGTAAAGATACGATGTCGTCGCCCGTCCGTGCATAGTTCCCAACGGCATCAAAGGCGTCTGGCTCTCGCTTTCACACTGCACAGTCCTGCCGCACCACGCCACCATAAACAACAACAGCAGGAAGTATAGTAGAATACGAGTAATGAGATGGAGAGCCCTTCTACCGTCCTGTTGCGGGACGATGTTCGCGAAATCCCAACGAACGGCAAGAAAAAGCGCATCTCTTTCTCTCTGGGCCTCGGTCCTTTCACACCAGCCACACCAACACCAACAATCACCAACGGCAGCGGATGTATAATAGAGTGATGTACAGTGCCAACCTCGCTTCTTGCTGTGCGTTGGGTATAGCGTCCGGTGATCATGAACAAATCTTCCCGCTTCGACCGCTAGCTGCTCGTTTTTTTTTGCTACTCCTCCAGTGCCGTCAACTGAAGGAATAGCAGCAGCGGCAGCCACAACAACAGCGCGGACATGTTGCTCCCATGTACCACAAGCTCCTCCTCCTCTGTGTGCTGTGTGCTGTGTGCTGCATGCTGTGTGCTGCGGAGACGGCGAGTGATGTGTGCGCCTGCCTTGCGGTACCCCTTTTCAAATGTGTCGCCAATACCGACGGAACCATGTCTTGTCTGCGTGCCCCCCCCCCCCTTTTCCTGAATTGAAAAAAATGTCCTCCATACCGACGGCAAGTCACCCCACGAAAAAAACGCCTCTCCCATCATTTGTCGTTCGCAAGAAAATTAAGTACGTTTTTCTCGTTGGCCGAACACGACCAACTACGTTCGACATTTCAATGGTTGCTTGATTTTTTGTTGAACGATGGAAAAGTCCCGTCTTTATCACCAGAACCCCCCCCCCCCCCCTTTGTGTATTTACTTCCATACGTTGGTATCGTATCACTCGCATGAGTGACTGCTCCTACCTTTTTTTCATCTGCCCGATCGCATCCCCTTCGCTTTCGTTGCTTCCGAGCGCAGGCAGACCTTCTTCTGTGCGATGGTCACGACTGACTCATTGTTTCTCTCTTTTCACACAATTCCATCACTTTTTTTTTTTTAATTCTGGACGTACACGCCTATCACCCTTTTTTTGTCACACAGGAATGGCTGCGTTGGCCGTACGCCTCGGAGCTGCCTGGATCGCACACGGTGGCGATCGCGGCGGTAGACGAGGCCGGCAACGTGGACCCCGAGCCGGCGGTGTGGACGTGGTCCGTCGACGCGCGGCCAAGGACGTCCCTCACCAGCGCCCCACAGGTATTAGTCCAGACAGACAGATGAATCATGCGTCTGCACTTTACTTGGAGCAGCTTCTCCTAAGGATGTGAATTATGTTTTTATCGTTTTGAGGGGTCTTGGCGACCGGGGTGGGGGGGGGGGGGGGGGGGT